TCTTAGATTTGGATCTTTTGCAAAGATGATACTTCCAACATCGCAGTGTCCTCGATGTTCTGTTGATGTATCGATCAATGTAAATTCAACAAATTCCACCTAAAGAATACTCCTTTTTGTAGCACCTGTTTTTCCTTAGAGGTTTCCTGTCTGTGTTCTGTTGAAATCCAGTCCAAGCTTTCGAAGGAGTTGGGTCAATCAGTACATAGAAGAGAAGAGTTAGCAGTGCTTATACTGACTTTCCTGCTAGCTGAGTGTTTCAGTCATAAGTTATATACTATTAAGGTAGTTATTTTGCAGTAAATATCCATGGGCTTGAATCTCCACTGCACAAACTTCTGCTCTGCTGCCATAAGATTTCATTGTAACACCCTCTTTCCTTCCCATTATACCCCCATTTTATTTTCTGTGTTCCAGCACATGGGAGGGCAGAGGCTCTTCCATCATCTTTGTACTGACAGATTTCCTCAACAAAAAGGAAATTTCCAATGCAGAAATTAGTAAATAACATCTCTAGTCTGGTGAAAGATTAGAGAATCATTGATAATACATTTATGTATACACTGATGTTTACAAGCTTAATTATTTAATTTTTCATAAGACCAGAAGTGTTGCTGAGTTATGTTTGAATTCCAGTTCAATCCCATGCTTCAGGTTTGTTGGACAGAATGGGTTTATAGGCAGCCACTGATCTGAATTGGAATATTCCCTCTTTGTTGGAGGACTCGGTCAGTACAGAGATGAAGGAAGAGTTTCTGTCACACAACTCTGTCACCTCGTGTTGAAACACAGGGGAGACAATGGGAGCATGTTGGGAAGGAGTGTTAGTGTGAGATCCTATAGCAACAGTGCAGAAGTTTTGGTTCCCATTAGAACAATAAAGTTAACAATCATGTAAGCTGTGTGGTCCTATCTCTTCTGGCCTAGTATAATCTCCTTGCCACTGTGAAACCGTAAGATGTAACAGTAGCAGTCAAGAATATCAGTATAGGCAGTGTAGCTTTTTTCCGTATGTGCATTATGTGTATATATTTATGTATGCACTGAGTCCTCCATTGTGGAGCCACTCAAGAAGGGAACAGGTTGTGGTCTTTTAGTAAAGTTCGATGAGAACATACTGGAAAGGTTGAGAGTAACACCATAATTATTTAAGTGATATCAAGTAGAAAGTTTATAATTCATTTAAAAAAACAACAGTATTCTATTTTTGTAAACTACTTATTTAAATTGTATCAATTTTTGTTCTGATTGGTCATTAATGTAATCATAAGTGAAATAAAAATGCAAAGTTTATTTTATTTTACTGCCCTTCAGTGTTTCAACCGGAAATCTCAATAAACAAAAATAAACAAAGGTCAGATTATCCACAAATTGTGGCCTAAGCCTGCAAACACTTAAGCATGTGCTATACTTGATTCACATAAGCAGTTCCATTGAAGTCAGAGGGATTATTATGTGATTCAAGTTAAGCATAAGTATAGTTAATTTGGCATATATATGGGATGTTCCAAGTGGCCGTGAAAGTCCAAAACAGTTTGTCTAGTCACTTGGCAGCTGGTTTGTGAATTAATTCTTGTTGTATGGAAAGAGTCAGTTACAACTATGAAATATACTTGGGGTACCTTCTGGTGGTCACTTAGGGCAGATAGCCACTTAAGAAGGGTTGCTTTCAGCATGGATTTCATGGTAATATGTACAGAGGATATAGGGTATAGAAGCTTACTGTATATCTTAACATGTTTGTAGTGTTTATGGGTCTAGATAAGAAGACTGTAATAGCAGTTTAAATGCACTTTTTGTGAGATGGTAAGCTAATGATGTAGCTGTTAATTTGAATTTAGCAGACGTTTTAAATATAGGTTTCTCTTACAGAGACAAAAGTTGCAATTTAAAGCTCTTTGGTGGTCTAAAAACAGCTTAATTCTCTAGTAGCATGGTAATAAGTACTAATCCAGCTTATACAGTGATTGTAGTATGTCATGTTTGTGAAAGATTGCCTAACTCTGCTTTCTCTGGGTTTTATGTTAATTTTTTTAAATTAAACATAAAACCTTATAACATCTTTATGCTGAGATAAACTGTTCAATTTAACTTGTGCTCAAGCAGCAGCTGTCAGGAATTATCATGTTTCCAGCATTCTTGCTATCACCTTGTGTCTTTACCTCCCGGATATACGCAGTGGGATGATAAAGCTCACCTTGTTAGGATTTATTACTTAAATAATAACCTGGGGTAAAATGAAAGTTGATGTCACATAGAATGACAACTGACATATATTTATGTCACACATTACATTGTAATAAACTTTCCTTTCCTCTCCTAGTAATAGGTGTTAAGTGGAAATACTCTTCAACATATCCTCCAGTGCCCTGCATGAGTCCATTAGCCATATACACTACTTCTCTGTGGGCATGTTCACAATGACTTGTACTGTCAGGTATTATTTAAGCTTATAATGCCTCAGAAATTGGTTATTGCCAGTCACGAATAGTTTCTGTGCCAGTAAAGAAACAAGGCTGAGGGTGTAGCTAATGTATGTAGGATTACATTATGGAAGTGTATTATGGGGTAGCATAAGGGGATCTTGAGGACAATTTATAATGCTGTGATTAATTTAAATTTTGTTCACACTTAGAGTGGGAAAATAAAATTATTTCAAATTCATACATTTTCCTTTATAATGAAATATGATTAGATTATTAACCGTTGCCACTTTTTGTCTATTATTTAGAAAATCTAACCTTTCTTTTTGTGTCAGAATAACCAAAATGTTTTTTAAGTCCTTGACATTTTCACTATTCATTTCCAAATACTTTCTATTTGTAGGTTTTTTCTAATACCTCCATTGCATCCTTTAGTTTGTCCAAAGTGCTGTTGTCTGTTAATACAACCGTTTTCTTCAGATTCTCTCTATTAGATTCATTCATGTCTACCATATTGAGATCAAACAACAGTGTGCTACATGATTCTGGCCTAGCCCTATCCTTTGGTTCTTATTTATCATGATATTTCCTGCT